CTGTTCAGTACAAAGTTGGAAGAAAAGAGCATAAAAAAACTCCATTCATTTCCTTGACAAGCATAACCTAGCAGAGCTATTTCCCAGGCCAGTCTTCCTAGTCCAGCACCAGGAACCAGAATATTTACTTTAGAAGGGTCCCTGAAATGAAATAAAGCAATTATGTCCAACCCCTCAAAGGAAAAAAAAAAAGAAAACAAATTAAGAAAAAGAAAGGAAAGAAAGACTAAATCCACATTAAAAACTAAAAAATTATTCAGTAAGAATAAGCTCACTAGGGTTCTGACTTCTGAAGACTAAGAAATATGGCTAAATATCAATTTATAAATCAAGAAGCATAAGGAATGACTATATGTATTCAGATATCTGGTGAGAATTTTATAAGCCAAAAATTATTTTTTCAGAAAAAAAGGAGTTTACCTTATATCTGAAGACATATGAAGTGACTTATACTCGGAACAGCTATCACCTGAACAACTGTCAGGAAGACAGACTATTCCAAAGTGATCCCAACTGCATATGAAGAGTTTAAACAAAATCATTTGAGACAAGAAATCAAAACATAACTTTACTTCTAAATTCTATATGTAATTGAATGACATATAACAAAAAGCACATAAGCTGTATTTACATTTTAATGCACTAAGCACACATATATTAAAGCAATATTTATTTTGGCTAGAAAGAATAGGGAATTCAGTCTGTAAAAGTACGGTGAGGATTTATTTGCCTGTGGCAATTAAGTCTTATGTATCTATATATGGAACATGTGTTTGTATGAAAACGAAGTGTATCTCACTGTTATACTTTATAGATGCAAAGAACCACTAAAAGAAATAAAGACTTCATATAAAGGGACCTATTACGATTAGTAAGAGGTCTCTCAGTACTTGATATGGATGAACTCATGCCTAGAAGTTATATGACAGGCTAATATAAAACGTCTTCTTGTTCAAGATTATAATCTGCGTATATGTTCATGTTTGCATGTTAATTTTAATGAAGAAAATAGACCATCCTTTCGCTTTGTAGCTTAGTGGTAGAGAAGTTGGCCTAGCATGTCAGAGATACTGGGTTTGATCCCCAGCACAGTAAGGAAAAGAAAAAAACAAAAAACAAATGATCAAAGTAATGTAACAAGCCAGGCATGGTGGCACACACCTGTAATCCTAGCACTTGGGAGGCTGAGCCAGAGGATTGCTGCCAGCCAGGCTACATAGCGAGTTCAAGGCCAGCCTGAACTACACAGTGAAACCCTGTCTCAAAAACAAACAAACAAACAAACAACCACCACCAACAAAAAGTCACCAAAGTAATGCAACAAAAAGTAAAAGGATTTATAATTAAACTCATAGTCTTTATTTTAAAAATCATAGTCAATTTCATAATAGCTGATAAAAAAAGTACCATACAGAAATGAAAAGTCACCTTAGTATTAACGGAAAGCTACGCTAATTAATGGTATCAACAACTATTTCGATAACCTGTGGAAAGTTAACTTTATGACAGCTCTTATCAACTAATCAGAACTACAGAACTCTCTACCCCTACCTTGTGGGAGAAAATACATTGACAGCACTCTGTATAAGATTACTCTTACAAGGTTAGTCCACTGAATACAGAATATACCAAGGCTGTACCTTAAGAATAAGCAGGCTACTACAGACGTATACATTACTTTTATTACAATAAAAAGGATTTCAACAAGCACATAAGAGACCATTAAACACCCTCTAGAACTGAAAAAATAAGAAATCAAAACAGGTTTCTTTTATATGAGAAACCCAAAGTATAAATAATTTAAAGAGGAAAAAAATAATTTAAGGAGAAAACTAGAGATGACAGGAAACAGGAAGACTATGGGGACAGGAAGGGGGTGTGGGGCTAGGAGGTGGGTGAGGAGGGGAAGTAGAAAGGAGCGAGATGTGATATGTGTATGTACCAATACACAACAATGTAGAGACAGGCACGGTTGCGCATTCCTGTAGTCCCAGCACTCAGAGGCCGAGGCAGGACAACTGTCAGCAGTTTGAGGCCAGCCTGAACTGCAGAGCAAGACCATGCCTCAAAAAAACAAAAACTAAAAAAACAACATGATTTGTAAAAAACAATGTATACATTAATTATCTATTGTAAACATATACTAATAAAGTTTTTAAAAGAACCACTGATGCCCCCCCAAAGAAAATACATGAAATGAGGGGAGGCTGGGGATTTAGCTCAGTGGCACAGCGCCTGCCTGCCAAGCGCAAGGTCGTGAGTTTGATGCCGGTACCGGAAAAAAAACAAAAACAACAACAACAAAAAGAAACGAGGGGAGAGGATGGGACAAGGATAGATGATGGGGAAGATGATCAAAGTATGTTATGTGCGTGTACAGATCTGCCAAAATGAAAACAATCCATCTGTATAAGCAATATACTCTAAGAAATGGAAAAATGAACCAAGGAAGGGAGAGATGAGATAGAGTAAAGCTTTCCTTACACCTTTTCAACATCATCCCCCAACTTCCCAGTACTGGGGATTGAACCCAGTGATCCGCAAATGCCAGGCAAGTGCTGTACCACTTTTTTGTCCCTGGCTCTCTGAAAAAGTTTTGAGACGGGGTCTTACTAAGTTGCCCAGGCTGGCCTTTTTTTGGGGGGGGGAGGGCTGGAACTTGTGATCCTCCTGCCTCAGCATCCTGAGTAGCTACAATTACCATGCGTTACCTGAATTACCATGCCAGGTTTTTAACAGTTTTTTTTACAGGGGTACAAGATATATAGAACAAAATGGAAACCTCTAATTATATTTTGTATGAAATTAAGGCACTTTGGCAGTTTCTGCTATGAGTCTTTATGAAGTCTAGGGCATTTCTATGCATTTCTGTGGAGAATAAGAATATAAATGAATAAAAAACCTTAATGATGAGATTATTTTAAATGAAATGCAACTTTAAAAACCAGGAATAGAGACACATTCAGTATGTGCTCAGCCATCTAAAGTTTCTGGCTGGAGATTTTTAGTAAAAAGAAGCTAGTGAGGCAATTTACCAAGTTATTATGGTTCAAATACAGTGAAACAGTGCATTCACTACAAATGTGCCTCCCTCATATAAAGGGAAAAGTCACACCACCCAAGGGAAGACTAGAGGAAAGTTGTATCCGTAAGGGCAGAAGAGGCCACAGATTGTTCACATTACACTTTCGGTGACACTATTTTACCAAGAATGAATGTTCTTTTTTTGCAGTTTTTATTTTTTTGTCAGTACATGTTTTGCATTACTGATTACACAATGAACTCTACTTCATCATATACAGAACGACCCTTGTATTGCAGCAAATCAAGAAAATCCCAACACAAGGTATTTTCTTTTGTTCTATCAATGTGGTGACACTTGACTGACCCCTGGTGGTAGGAATACTCACAACTTTTAAGCACCAAAAAGGGGTTCTCTGAATCACAGCTACCCAGGGTCTACTTAAAATATACAAACTGCACTGTAAGTGTAAAAGAAAACCAGATTTCACCTGCTTTCATTTACCTTTTTATGTGGCTACTGGAAAATTTTAATTACATGTGTGCCTTGCATCTATGGGCTGCAGGATGCTCTTGAACAATGCTGATCTATACATATAAGTCATAAAACCTTACAGCGGGTGGGACTGGGATGTAGCTTGGTGATAAAACTACACCCATGCCCGAGGCCTGGGTTTAATCCCCAGCATAAAAATAAGATTACATTGCCTGAGTGCCTGGCATTCAACGCAATTTAGACAGTGTTTCTCTACTTACAAATAGACCCTGTATATCTGTGGAAGCCCTGTCTACCTGTGGCTTCCAAATTGCTGCTGCTTACATTCTGGAAGAATCAGACAAACTGATAAAAACTAAAATGTTTGCGCAAGGAAAGTTATTTTAACAATCATAAATATAGTTAGTTCTGTGCATACTAGTTAGAATGTATATAATTCTTAGTAAGACTATTCACTTAGAAAAGCGCTTTATTTAAATATCAAAGAGAAAATACAGTCAAAGGGCCAGGTAAAATAAAGCTGAGTCAAATCCATCCTAGGTACAAAGACACCAGATTTCCACTTGATCACCCTGGTACAAATAGGGTCTTGGAAATGTACCTGAGGCCCAAAGTTAACCAGGATTTATCCAGAACCACCTATGATTGTGAAAGGCTATAATAACTGCCCCTTTTCCAGGACCCAAGGGACATTAATTAACAGCAAGGCTATGACTTTTGTAAGTATGTGGTCTTTACTGAGTTTCACTGACTTTGTCCTTAAAAATTTTTGATAGCTCGTCTTATTTACTATAAGGAAATAAATGTAAAACAGGTACAACAAATGATATAGAAGAAATATGCAATTTTTTCACTGGGTCCAAAAACAGCAAAAAGAAAAAGGGTTTCTAGTGTACTTCATTTAAATTTTATACGTACCCTCTCCACTTCTGTATTAATTACTTTCACAGAAAGGAACTAGGTGGCTGGGGAACAATTAGAAGACAATTCTATATTCCAAGTCTTTACATTTTGAACTCTGTGAAATATTTTGTTATCTTTTATTTCTTAAGTAACAACAGAACCATCTAAACCTAGTAATCCTTTCTACCAGTTTACAGTCTGTCAATATTAGTAATAGAAAAATAACAGTAAAACAGTACCATGAGTGTTGTTCATGAAGTATCTTGAACCACACGTTCTTTTTAGATACACTGACACTGTTAGATTGATTAATACCATGACAATAAAGATTATTCAATGATCACTGAGTATGAAGAGAGTCATCTTTTATGTGCAAAAATGATGCTGCCCTATGTGTTTGACCTTTAGACTTCAAAATTCATACCAATTTTTGGTACATTCCTTTTGTAAAGAGCCTTAAAAACTCCTTTCAGAAAGAAACTATTTTGGATTCTGAGATATCTGCATTTTATCACTGTTTACAAAGCTGTTAAGCTATTATCTGTTGCTTTATCAACCAGAACACTGAATATCTATATACATGCAGAGAAAATATGAATTAGAAACTTCAAGAAAATCTTCTTTGAAGCAATAATATTTATAAAGGTTCACAGAACTTAAAATATTCAAGTTAAAATTAAAACTCTGAAAAATAAATGAGATTAGATCATAATTCTAATAG